CTGAATAATCATATTAAAAATCATTTTCTGATCAGCCTTTGTGGTCAGGTGGATGTTAGAAAAATTATGCATTCGCTTCTTCTTCTTTCTTTGTTATTTGCACTAACGCGAGTTAGTGTCTAAAGCTCTTTTACTCAGTAGTGTCTGTGATCAGTTGGATAATCCATAGTAATAAGAATTCTGTTGAATTCTGCTAATAGGTTACACAGACGATTTCATAGAAATATACTTTGAAGCTCAAGCACTCAGATGGAGTCCCCAGGGAAATCGTCATCGTCGTGTTTGGGCGTCTGCGTGAACATAACGAAGGATTGTCGATGCAAAATTACAAGCAGTAAATTATTTTTGAAATAACATTCAGTCGAGAAGGATGCAATTGAGTTCGGTACAAAAAAATGATAGAAAGCCGATCCTTCACTGGTAGAAAAGAGTAATAGAAGAAGCCCAGCATATCTTCCTAGCGGAATATATATTGCATTTGATGTAAGAGAGTACAATTATGAATTAGTGTCCGCATCCAAAGAATCGAACAATTCTTTGTGTACTAAATAATACGGATTTGTACTAATTAAAAAAGATATTACTTGATCCTGCTAAGAATCACGATCAACTTATAATTTGTTATGATTTTTTTCAATGAAAGTATGCTTTTCTTGAAAAGTCGTCATATATTACGACGTCTGCTCAGAAAGAAAATTTAAATACGATTAGCAGGTACCTTTAGAATTGTATATTGATCAAATTTTCATTCGGTTATACATAAATGATAACAAATATATTTTTAATAGTTCGAATAAATATATCAAATATTTATATTAACATATATATGTAAATGTATATAATCGGGATTATACAAATGAACTAACTAAATGGTGTAACTTGGTGTAATGCGAGTCAGTAATTCACTTTTATAATATTAAACAAACATTATAATAGCCTTTTATGAACCATTTTTTAAATATATATTTTATAAGTGCATATATGTAATTTAAAAGTACAATAGAACCCAAAAAGTGTTCTACCAAAAATAAAACAAAGTTTAAAAAAGAAATAAACAAAAAATCTATATAAATTTAACCGCTTGAGTTGTGTCAAGCGACAGACTGTCTGTTAAGAATAAGAATGAGAAAAAAACGTGACTAATTCAACACAAATATTTTAAAATCATAAAGAAGATACAGAGATTTGCGACAGGTCAAAATTTAGTTAAATGAACTTTAGAAAAAAATTAAAAAAAATTAATGATATTCATATGAATTAATTTTCTTATTTTTGTTTTCGGTGTTTGCCGAAACATTAGGCAAAACACTCCGAAGAAATGAGTGAACTGACGTGTGTTTCTTATAAGGTTTAATAGTTCATTTTGGGGTTAATTCGATGCATTTCTTCTGATCGATTTTCTGCTGAGCATTTCATCAGCTATTTTTGAAGAAAAAACACTAAAAATAACACAAAAAGTAACTCAACTAAAAATGTAAATATAGATAACCTTGGGCTTCACAATATTAGTTCTGATACAAGTGTTTTTTAACCTGGGGTTAGTGCCTTTTCTATGAATCCAAATAAAACAATATTGCATACATTCTTAAATAAAGAAACTTAACTGTTTTATTAGAATGTATAAAAATAAACTATAATTTATTAAATTTGATAGAAATTACGGAATATTTAAAAATGCTTTATCGATTAGCCAGATTACAACTAAACATATTAATTAGAATATACATTTTCGTAATTCGTTCTGGATTGTCGTATGTTTGTTTACGAGTAACACAAAATCTTAATCGTCCAAACTATATTCCCTATCCTACCGGTATGATTGAAAAATACATGTTTTCTCTTGCATGCCTATATCTCACCTGTTGCCATGATCTCCCTCCTATTATTCTGCATATCACTAAGGATTAGTTTTTTTTAACTCTTTTTTTAGATCATTTAAATTTTTGTTTTCTTTTGCAAAAAAAAATTTTTATTCTCTTTTCTCCATTTTGCTGTTAAATCCATATATTATATTATAATACGGATTCATATTATCCCATATTATATTATGGGATTTAATAACATATCCCATAAAATATACTGTTAATAAGTTATAATATTTAAACTAATGCCTTCCATTGTTGCAATGGATTTCTTATTATTATTGCTTTGATTATTGAATTATAATTTCATTCATTATAAATGGATAAACTTGTTATATAATAATATAATAATAATAATATAATAATAATAATATAATAATAATAATATAATAATAATAATATAATATTTAATGTATATTAGAAGTGATTTAACTGTTCATAAGATAATGAAATAAAATCAACATTCTAAGACTATTCAATTAATTCTTCTTTTCTCAGTTCTTTGGTCTTGGCAGAGTATAGTAGCGTAGGTACTTAAAATGCTTATAATTCGTTAAGGCAGACCATAACAATCACTATTACTATACTGTGTATATCGCTTTATAGCTTTTTTCCATAATTAACATACTTTCACTGACTTTGTCCTGCACAAGTTCGACACATCAAAAACTATTTTAATAATCTTAATTTTTATGTTTAGTTCCTCAGGGAGTTGTTTCTCTAAGGAAAAACTGGGCTGATAAGCAATTCAAGACGTTGTAGTCACGTGTGTTTTAAAAAATCACAGTTTTGCTGATAACTGATTCTGATCAGTACAAATCAGGTTTTATAGTCCAACCATGATTAGGTACGAATCTAATAGACCATTCTGTCGCGGATCAAAAAATATAATTTGTATCTAATGTATAATACATTATACCTCCAACTAAGTGATTAATCTATAACTTTCTTTTAAATAAGTAACCGAATATAGTTCAGGAGTACAGGAAATCATTCCGTATCAAGAGCAGAAAAGTATTTTATTATAGAACTATGACAACACTTTCGCATACTGTTCAGATGAGATCAGTGTCAAGTATGGTTCTAAAAAGGTTTTACGTGGTACGGTGAAGATATTATATGACTGTGATTTTAGTACAGTTTTTCATATGTAATTTCGGTTCAGAATTGTATTACGGTATACCAAAGCATTTCCTAATTCAGAATGGACAATGTTACGGCTACCCTGAACAAATTTATCGACGGAATGTTGATCTGACGCAAAATACTTTATACTATTTCGGTTAAGTTATACCAGCTATCGAGAGGAATTCATTATAGACCCATTGTGTTATCGTATGAAGAAAAACTTAGAGGTTTGAACCCACTTTCAGCGATTTTTTCAACTGCCGTTGTCTCTGTAAATTGTATTTAATAGCTTCATAGCAATGGATGCGGAAGTTGTAGCTAACTTAGTTAGCTTAGTTTATAAAATTCCAATGATTACTTTTTTATATACAACTGATGTTAACTTGAGGTATTGAAAGTTTTTCTTTCTTGATGCTTTTTATTCCAAACTAATCTCTTTCATGGATTCTAAGTAAATAAAGTAATTGTAAAAAAAAAAATTGTATATTTCGATAGTTTGAATATAACAGTCCAATATACTAGAATAAATATCAAATAATTAATTTAAAAGATAAAATTATTACTTACAATTTAAATATAAATATTACTTTGTAAAATTACTCTGTAAAATAAAATAAATTTAAATTTCAACTTAGTATTTTTAAATTTATTGAAGTGAAATCGTTCAACATCCGGTACTGTGACCAGAAGAGTCCTATTGTACCAATTTCACTATTGATTATAAAAAGCCCTTTAAAGTTTTGTGGACAACATACAGAACTAAATCTAGAGAAGAGCTCTTAATCTTAATCTGTTCTGGTGACAGAAATTCCATATGAAATAAGTTTCTTCTTCCTCAATTTCGATTAAATCGAATCGTTTTACTTACGTTATATCCATTTTACATGTAAACAATAGAATTATTAATGACAACACATACATATATTTGCAAATAAGTTTTACATGACATATATATAAAAACATAATACATTCATTTAATAATGAAATATTTATCAATAATACACTACCCAATATGATTGTACAATATTTAAGTATCTAAATACATAAAATGCAAAATTGTTAATAGAATTAAAAAACATTAATGATTGTGTGCAAATATCAAAAAGCGGAACAACAGGCATAGATATAGTTATTATAGTTTAAGGAGATTTAACATGTAATATTATAATGGATAGGCGAACGAGGTGGAAAGACTGAATATTAAATTTAGTTCGGCCTATTGCATGCAATCCAACGTCCTCATCATGTAGCCAATGCCACGTGAGTAAACTAGAGAAAGGAAGAAAGAGATAGAGATATATGACAGCCAATCCATTTGGATCTGTGAAACGACAAACAAGGAAAAGAATTAAAATGGGACTATTTAAATTTAATCGATATTAATTGAAGTTGTAAAATCTGTACACCAAATCTACGACTATAAGCTGGTGCCTGATTTGAAGCAAGCGACTTGCTATATATGGCAATACAATTTAACTCATTTATCGGCACTTAACACTGTTAAGAGCGCCAATTCCAAAACTCACTTAAAGCTAAAGAGCAATATGGCCATGGTGAGTATAAAGCAGACATAAAAATTGTTTAGACATTAATTAAAATCCAATACACTATTTGTACTTTTTTTTGTTACAATAACAAGTCTTTCAATATTCCTAAATACTAAAATCTACACTTACATGTACAGATAGATATATTTACAAAATTATAAATACATAATCACCTTTAATTATCATTGATATCACATTTAATATCGTTTATATGTGCTTAAGACAACTATTCACTCTTCTCGAGATAGTCGAAAGGTAAAAGCTTACCAAAATGGTATTCACTTTCTTCTTGCTGATAATTATATAGTAAGTCTAATGTTAAAAATACGAAGAATGGGTTTAATAGTAGTGCTTTGACAAAATAAGTACTTAAGATATAAGATATATGCTTCGTGCATACTATAACCATAACTTTTCATTATATATACGTATATTAAATATATTATATTTAATATACGTATATTAAATATACGTCAGAAGCGTAAATTATTTTGAATAAAATGGTCAAGTTGCAATGGTCGAGGAGTGCTTCTAGGTAGCAGTAGTACTAATTAATGGAATACTAATTAATTTATTAAAAAAAAAACAATTAAAAAAATTGTACAGCCTCTAGAACCAATATTGGGAAGAAGAAGGTAAAAAAATTTATAATTTCCTATATGAATGCACAGGTCTGTCCAGATTAATGTATTCCAGTAAGAAAAATATCAAACAAGTAATGGACATGTCACAAATATATATCGTAAAAGAATAGTCTTCTTAAGTAGAAATAAAAGAAGAGAAATAAAACTGAAGCAGACCTAATTATAGTTTGATAAAACCGATCAATCAATTTATAATGATCAATTTATGTTCTATAAACAGTTTTAGATAAGCATTCAAAGCGCTATTGAAAAAGTGTTTGTAATTATGATATTTCGTCAGTTATCTATGAAACTGATATCTAAATGCCTTTTGTAATCGCCAGGACTTCGTCAATGTGAACATTTCTTAATGTAATTGAGTGCAAATGAAATATAAAAATTCTAAGCAAATTCTACAAATATGTAGTTTTAAAAATATTTAAAAATATTAATTTCTCTAAATGCTTTCTCTAAAGGCTACTCGTCTGACATTTCCAAATCTGAGTCATCAAAGTCTATTATCTGTAAAACAAATCCAAAATTATTCACAATCATTAAAAAATTCTTAGGATTACTTACTTCACTATTTAAATCCTTGAATTCTGAAATTCCAGTTAAATCTTCCAAATATTTGGCCGTTTCAAAGGCTTTAAACAAAAATTGATTGCCTTGTTGACGATATTCTGTTATGACTTTCTGTAAAATATCAAAACAATATTAAAATGTTTAATTTGCATATAATTTTATAATCAATATTACTAAAATTTACCTCAGAGCAAGCAATACATTGAGAAAATTTTTGCGTTGCCGGCAGAATATTTTCATAATTGCACAGCATGCCTCTTATGGAATGCGGAATGATACCAAGTAAACCTTCAGGGGTTTTATCACTTGCATCGATGTCGTTAGCATTAGAATAATAAGCTGGTGCCGCATCTTTCTGAGGATGTTGAAGTATGGATACAAGTAACTCTACTGCATAGCTAGCAGCAATATTAGAAACTCCAGGACGAGTTACAGTGCATTGTTGATCAAGTGTACGATCTTTAAGAGACTGAATAGGGTTTCAATTAAATTAGTATATGAAAATTAAAATTTTTAATAACTAAATTATATAATAATAATAATAACACAATACAAATTAGAACAACTATATTATATTTAATTTTTATTTAGTTCTAATCAGATTAAATCAGATGATTAAATAAACACATCCGATTTAAACAAAATGGTAAAGATGTTTAAAGAATCATAGTATAAAACCAGATATCATAGTAGAGTTTTTGGAATATCAGATTTAAAAAAATCAAATAAAAGACACATTTTAATTTTATTTGAAAAAATTGTCTATTTTATTAAAGACTTTTCTAAGAAAAACAATCACTTATACTCTTTTTGATTGGTAGATCTGGGGTAACTCGAGATTCATTTTTAGTGCAATTTTCATTTTCGATTGGTAGATCTTGAGCTAAATGTATAACACTTGAGATTAATTTATAATGCTCCAGATATTTTGCCAGAGTATCATTATTACTCTAAGATTAACAGCTGATTTATATGTATTGACAAATAAAGAGTGATTTGATTCGATATATGTATTTATTACATACATTATTACAAAAATGTTGGTTTACTCTAAAAATGTTTGATTGATCAACAAAATTTGACAGATCGAGAGTAAATCTTTATTGAACCCAGATTTACCAATCGAAAACACCATTAATATTTTTGAATATTTATCAAACTATTGTAACTAAGGGGTACATTTGGTACGAAAATCATATATCGATTTATGACCATAGACTGACTGTAGTGTAAATATCATTGCAAATATATTAAAAAAATATGTATTTATATAAATAAATATTAATATATATATTGTTATGAATAAGGAATTTAAAAAATCTTTGAAATAGTTTTCTAAGGATGTCAGTTTGGAAATAAATTTTATTATATTATTAATTATTAGAAAAAATTGTGTGTTTGCGTTCAATAAAACTTCGAGCAATAAATACAGTTATTTAAAACTAAAGCCAACTATTTAATTATTTATCGAGATTAAGCGATCGCAAACGACCAAACGAATTGGAACGTACACAAAAAAATTAATATATATAAATATATACATACACATATATAACATATAGATTATATTTCTTCAAATATATATAACAATTTGTTAATTACTTAACATTTCCTAATTAACCCTTTTTAAAATATATAAATAAATTTTAGTCATTTAAGCAATAAATTATAATTATTTATTTTGAAGTAATTATTAGTTTACTTTTATAATTATTAAAACGCTGAAGTGAAAAAAAATAAAATAAAAGCTATAAAGTGGTTTATATTAGGTCTGTTCCACGAGCTACTTTAAGAAGCGTTCCACCAGCAAAATTTCGAGTAAAAAAGAGCCTCTGAGATAGTGCAACATCCCTGTCGAAATTTGAAAATGCTACACAGACTTTGCTCGTACATTTTATTTCAATTAAAATTTATGTTGATAAGTGAGTCAACTGTTTTGGTTTGAATTTAAATTTTTGTATTGTTTATTTGCGTGGCACTGGTGTTCCCACCAAACTTTACACAAAAGGCCATGTTATGCAGAGAGTCTCGGGCACGGCAAAATTCGCTCTTTCGGAATATGCCGAAAATGCATGTTATGCAGAGTGTCACATCAATGTTGCCAATTTTGTATATTTACAGTGTTTTGATACTTTTTGGTTATGCCTATATTTAAAAGGAAATCTATATATGCTCACCTTCAATTTGCCATTATATTATTTTATAATAATTATTAACAGTACTTACGCCTTTCCTTAAAATCGGAAAGTGTAATAAATAGATTATTAGAGGTTTATAAAAAAACAGCTGTGTTGCTTTGTGCATCGGCTCTCATGGCGGAGTTTGAACGAACATATTGTTTTTTCTCTTACTCTCAAAAAATAAACAACAACAATTGTACTCATGCCGTGACCGAGACACTCTGCATAACATGGCCTAAAGCTGTTCCATGAAAATCTGTGTAAAGAGCGTAATTTGACACTTTATATGTGTTACGCTCGCAGTTTGTACTTTAGTTGTGTTTTACTACAAGTAGCTCTTCGAACAGACTTATTTTTGTTTTATTATTATATAGTATTTTATATAAATATCGCTGAAGTTTCGAAGTTTATAATTATTTATTGTTAAAGGGGGATTTTTTTAAGACGACACCTTTTTTGAATTTTCAAAAACAAAAATGTTTAACAATAAAAGATTTCAAGTTGGTAACAATTGTCATAGAAGTCACTCAATTTACTATTTCTTGTTAACAACAAAACTCAACAAAGTTGTGCTCATCAAAAGCACAACTCATCTGATCACACAAAAGCTTTAAAATGTTCACAAAAAAGAGAAAACTAATTTACTTTGTTTTTGTTTTTCTACTAATATTTTTTATCATATGTTCGTAAGAAAACTCAAATAAATAGATAAAAAAAAAGACAACAAAGAGTGTAAAATCAGCGAAAGCAAAATAGTATCAACAAAGTAATGACCGAAACAACAGGTATGTGTGGCGTATGAGTGATAAACAAATATACCGTATCAAACTCCAACGAAGTGCTCAGTTGTAAATTATTTTAGCAATAATTGCACACTGAGTGATACGCATGTGACAGAAGTAGTGTGCAATGACGTAGTCGCGTAAACAAACGAACAGAAAGTTGAGAAAATTATTTTCATTGCGAGCAATTGAAAAATTCATATAATTAAAATCGACGAAAAGTGTATTTGATTAAATATGATGAAATAATGTTAACTGTCGTCATACCATAAAAAAACAATAACAATATCACCTATTTTAAAATATTTATTTTTCGATTAGATAAAAGTTTCTTACAAGAGCAAATAAAAAAATCCCAAATTACAAACCGTTTAAGAACGAACCAGTGTTTTTATCACTGAAAAAAAATATTTTTAACAGCAACAAAGCACGTTATCAAGTATTACCGTTTCGCGGAGTGTAAAAAGCACATTCCAAACAGTTTTAACAGTTTTAATAAGTTATAAAAATATTATTTAAAAAGCATTAAATAATCGAAAAAAACTGATACAATTTAATTATTGTAAGCAAAATAATTATTTTTCTAAAAAATGTTGACAGAATTCGCGGGCAATTTGGCGCATCACCTGGAATTCGGCCACACTCTGGAAGTTGTGGCCAAGACCATCGACAGTGCTTCAAGGTTTGTTTTAAATATTTTAAATATCAATATTAAATTATTATTTTCATTATTTATCTTGAAACGTGTTCGAAGTACACTTTATACACAAACTGTCAACTGTTTTCATAACTTATTTAAATTTATTTATTTATTTTATATCAAAGCTGAAAGAATTGTAAATACCGTAACATTTTTTCTATGATATAAACAACTGTGACTAATGAGGCTTAATGTTATGGCATTTATAATTAATTATAAGCAAAAAAAAAATAACTATAAAAACATACAGTACGAGTATGTAAAATATAGGAAATATTAAAAATGCAATACAACCTTCAACCCCTAAAATTCTCAAGCTACAGTGTTTGAACAAAAAAAATGAATTTATTTGGAAAACAAAAATTTTTTTTTATATATTTCTAACTTCATACTTATATGTACATATAGTACAACTTCACTAATCCGAATCCATTAAAATTGAGTTCAATTCAAAGTACTGAGACGATTGAATCACATGAGTCATATTAAATATTCAGGAAAAGTTTTATATAAATATATAACTATTTATTTTAACAACAGCAACTGAATAAAAACTAATAAATAATCCACAGCTCATTAAATTAATCCATAAATCAAATGACACATTCACATGAAAAATAAAAAAGTTTATAAGTTTATAAGCAAATAGTAAAGAAAGGGTATAACTATGATTTATTTCATTAGACTACCGGGGAGACATGTTGACAATATGTCATCTGGATTAGTCAATCAGTTGTCGAGTTGGACTGCAGAATATATGATGTATATTTAACATTTTCTAATTTTGCTAGTATTATAATGGAATTCGAATCACCCGAGATTCGGATTAACACTGATCTTACCTTCATGTTGTCAACATGTCATCCAGATTAGTGAATCAGTTGTTGATTAGGATAGCAGAGCATATGATGTATATTTAACATTTTCTAATTTTGCCGGTATTACAATGGAATTCGAATTAACCGAGAATCGGGTTAACACTGATCTACTGTATGTATACATATGGAAGCGGCATTAATTTTAGGGTCTTGCTAAGTTTGATACAAAAAATTTGGTCTAAAGGTTTTTGAATTTATGAACTCTATACCCTCTTCCAAGTGCATACTAAACAATAGCAACTTCTTTATTTTACCTTTTTTATCTTTGGTTTAAAAAAAAGCATCTTTATTAGACTCGGCTTCATCATTAGAGCAAAATCTTCTTTCTAGAGTATTCTAGAGTTGTTAAGAGTTAGATACGTAATATACGGTATATGAAAATGTAATTCCAAGTGCGATTCATACAGTTTTATAATTGCACAGTGGTCACATACTCACAATTTTGTGTAAAATTATGAATATTATTATTTTTAAACATTTTAAAGATAGGAACTTGAAAACTACAATTAAGCAATTAAAATTGCAACCTTTTTTTGTGGAAATCTATAGTTCTGCTTTTGTAGTTCCTTTTGGATGTGGTGCATGACGCTTGGTCGTCGAATTTTACGAGTGGTTACGAAACGTAGACCCGGCCGTTCTTCAAACCTCAAAACTATACTTAAACTCAGTTGTTTAGTATTATAATTTTTTGAAATATTTAATGTTTTTACAAAATATTGCATTTTATTGCATATTATTTTAAAAAGCAATAGTTATCTAGCTTTAAACAACGATTACAAGCAAAACTATCATACAGTTTTCTGTTTGTTCTGTAAGAAAGAAAATTTTTTCACTAAAAATGTTTGTAAGATAATAATTTTAAAAATAGTTTGAGGCAAGTGAGGTTTTTCACAAAAATAATCCAAAATTTAAAAAAAAAAACTGACTTTGAACCATTATAATTTTATTGGTCCATATGTCCATATTTGTTTATTAAATATACTTAAATTTTTTTTCCTACTCAATCTCATAAACTGAAAATTATATATTTTTTGAGGCTAATACTAAGATATTCGATTTCACTTTAATTGTCAAAAAACGAATATTATCAGTAAACAAAAATTTGTCCAAAATCTTTATATAGTTCTAGAAATAGAACAAATAGAATATAGAACATACATAAAATGATATGCCTATGATCCAAAATCTTACAATACCAGCAAAATTGGTGGAAACATTCACCCATCTTCTGTGCTTATGTTCTGACAAAACCAGAAAAAAATTAAATATTTTTATTTGGCAAAAAAAAGTTTGAAAACTCATTAATAATAATCATCTTATTATTTTTGTAATGATAACATATAGATTCAAGAGGTTCTACTATTGTTAACATTTTCTTTTTAATTTAGTCATGGACTAAAATAAAATACATCCTTAAGCTATGGGCTACATTTACTACACTGATATTCATATTGCATAAATTTCTTTCACTGAAACTCACATAAAATGTCCTATTTACAGTACCCTCAATCCATAAAGATAAGATTTAAATATTTTTAAAATTTCGTAATAGAGTACATATCATAACTACTCAATAAATACAAAATATTGATAAAGAAGACTTTCCGACACCAATATTTAAACAGGACTATAATATTAAGAAAGTAAAAACTCTTTTTAATTTCTAATTAGGTTAGACCTTGAAAATGTTCTTATAATTATGTGAACTTAGTTGTAGATATTTTTATGTTGAAATAAAAAACTCAATTACAAAGTACACTTCATTACTTCGCTTATGCATTCTATTATATATCTATAATAATCTATACTGGTCAAAATGCATCTAAGCCTCTAATAATAATAATATTAGCTTAAGTTTAAATATATATATATATATTAGAAATCAGCAGCAAAAGTGCCAGGTTACTGCATAAAACAGAAGATAATATAATATAAAAGTGGTGACTAACAGCACGAAATATAGAATAAAAGTAAAATAAAATTATATTGAAATTTTGTGAAATCAAAAGATATTATATAGAACAAAAAGGTGTAACTAATCTTATCATGTACTTGCATGACTAGTTTAAAAGTAAATAATAATAAATATTAATAATTTAGTTAAACTTTTAGTTCCTATTGTAGTGCAATTACTTCCTGAAATATTTTTAAATTAAAAAATACATTTATTTCAGACTTAATTTCATATTTTTCCTTACAGATTTCACATTGATATTGGCACAGCAAAATCTGTGATCGATCCAAATGCTCAAATAGGCTTACGTTTTTCTTGTTATTTTCGTGAGGATCGAATTGTGCGTAATGCACGTATAGATGGTCATTGGGGACAAGAAGAAGTTGAAAATATTATGGACAAATCAGTGCCGAATCCCATTGTGTCTGGAGAGTTTTTCATTGTCTATATAATGGCATGCGAAGAACAATTTCATATCTCAATTAATAGTCGTCCATTTTGCACATTTCGGTATAGAATGCCGTTAGAATCATTGCGTACCATAGAGATACACGATCAAATACAAGTTATTAAACAAGTTGATCATCGTACAGTATTTCCAAATCCTTGGCCAGCTATACATGCCTCGGACTATTTTAAAGCTTTTAGTAATGATGTACCGATACTGTTTTCGCCAGGACATTTAATTGTTATAACGGCACGTTGTTTTGATAACAAAAAAGGACAATTTATTCTAAAATTTATGGATACAGATACTAAACGAGAAGAATTTCACTTTAGCGTACGTTTCGACCAAAAATGTGTCGTACGGAATTCTATGAATAAAAACTTCGAGTAAGTTTTAGAATAAAAGTTATATATAATATTCTTAATCAATCATTTTTTAACTAATAGTTTCGGACAAGAAGAACGTCATGGAGGTTTTCCTTTTACTTTTAATCAACAATTTAAACTTGCCATTGCATTTACTGAACGTGAATTCCTGACAGCGGTTGATGGTTACAATTTCTGCAGTTACGCTTATAGAACACCTAATGTCCTGCAAACTTTAGTGGGCTTTAAAGTTACAACTATTAATGGTTTACACATGCACATCACTGGAGTAGATCACTTACAATTAGGCGATCCAACATGCACAAGTTTCGAAAAATATTCGAAGATGAATCATGAATGCGCTTAATTCTTAAAATTAAATTATTGTTATTTACTATTTGTTTGTATATAAAATATATATGATTTGTTAATTAATTATTGTAATAAAAATTATTTTTATTTACTTACATTACCAGGTGCAGTTACATCGTTGCAAAAATAACAACCTAAACTATTACCATTTATACATTTTAGGTTGCCAATATTAGTTGGTATAGCAAAGTCGCCGATAGTGTCTTGAAATTTGGTGCTACCATGTCGCATTACCAAATAGCTATCAAAACCTAAGGCTGTATTAATAACAATCTAAAAATATTTTACTATAAATATAAATATAACTTTAATATATTATAGTGACGCACCTTTTTATGTGCAGCGCCTAATAAAGTAGGTAACCATCGACTTTCTCTGGAATCGGTTAATAAAAATATAACATCGTGTTGAGTGACTAGTTCTTTTATTTTATTAATATCAGCTTCTGTTTCGGATTTTTGGGCTTCGCCAATAGTATGTCCAGGCATTGGTATTTGCATGACATATCCATTAGCCACCTTAAGAAATGCATTTAATTAGTACATTTTTTATGTTAATATTATTTATTTATCTTTACCGTGCTAGGATTAATTTGTACTAAACGTTCAGCAGCAATTTTGGCTTTCATAATGTGGCCAGCAA